AACCACAATTGTACGCACAATTGTGACCCAAACAATTTATTTGACAAATTCAAATTCATTTTTCTGCTTTTATATTCAGTGTCTCGATATGTGAAACCAAGAATTGCCTTTATGTCTTCTATTGTTCTGTTTAAGGATTCTTCTGTTCTCACATTTATTTCTTTTGTTCTGTCCCCAAAATGTACAGTTTCACTTACTTGCATCAAATTTTTCAAAACCACTGATGTTCTCTTGAAAACCTCTACGTGCATAACCCCAAACACGTGCAGCACACAAATTTACTATCCTTCTAAATTTGTACCAAATGAGAAAGAGAATGACTTGCATTTATGTGGTTACTTGTATGGTCACTAGATATCTCAAAGTGCTTTAGACCCAATGGGATACTTTTTACTATGTTATAATTCAGGAAACAAAAGCAACAAATATTGATATAATTCACCATGTATTTAAACAGGTGGAAAACAGAATGTACATTCTTGAGGCACCATCCATATTCTGTCAATTTCATAACAAATTTATTCATCCATATCTCTGGCCTCTGCCCCGTGCTGTGCTCTATCCAGAGTTTACATGCCCTTTAATAGCCTGTGTCCCAAATTCGCACAATTCTCTCATGTGACATCTAATCAAACAGTTTCTGAAAATCTGTATATACAGCATTACATTTGCTTTGTCTACATACTGTTTAATTTTACAATTAAATTAGCCAAGCATGACCTGCCCTTTAGAAATCTATCCAACCTGTCCCTGATGATTTCTGTAAGTGCTCTGAATGCATAAGTATTCTGTATTTTTATAGAAGACAATGAGGTAGACAGATTCTTTATCATCTTTTGCTGATATCTTGACTCTGATTACAACTTGATCAGTATGCCATGTACATATTCAACACTGCAAATAGGATGAAATAATTTGGTGGTTGCATCTGTTCCTAATTTGATGATGTAAGTTGTAATGGAAATATAAGTGTAACTTTAAAATGTTCCAAACCGTTGCATGTGCAGCTAAACTGCATTTGCACTTCACCACGTGTTAAGTTTACTTGACAGTATTTTCTTTAAGTTTAGGGATGTGTATGGCCTGCTTGGTGTGCCAGAAGAAAGAAAAATATTTATTGGTTTAACCAGCAAACCTCTTGCATTGAACAAATAATAATTTATTGCATGTTGACAATTAGTTACAGTTACATTAACATTAAAATACAGTGAAATGGCGCACATAAAGAGAACCTGGATGTTAAGTCTTACTTCCTTGAGATCCTAAGCTGTTCTGTCCCTAAGTCCACATGATATTATCATAGTGGGTGCTGCTTATTCTACAACTCAGTATTAGCCTGTTCAGATCCACAGATATCACCCCAAATTCTTTTTTCCCTGTTTATTAATATTACACATTTGTGTATATAATTACAATTACCAGTTTATTTCAAGTCAATGAAACAACATGTTGGGAGGAGTATGTAACAGGTGGCTGATATAATGCTGTCTATTTTGTGTCTTCATCGTATCTACTTTCATCCAGAGAGTGATAGCCTAACAATGAAACCTCTCATAATGAAGCATGCCACATTCACTGACATTGTCGTGGCAGTTTCAAATAAGCTACAAAGGGGAATCCTTCCTTGTTGAACATTGTACCAGGCATTGGCTAGGGAGCAGACTTGGCCATATGTGAGTGTAAATGAGGACTCTTAGGAGTTGGGGGAAATCACCAATCTGTAAAATGACAGAAAATGGAGTATGTGATATCACCATATAATAACTTAATCATGTTCTTGTATCAAACCAAAAGACAATGCTGACTTTATTGAGCTTCTCGAAATTAAGCTGAAAGTTGGGGGAGACACTGAAGTGTGCTCAGATGCAACAGTGTAAATCTCTGACCTATTTTCCACAGCCATCTGCCTGATTTATTATTACAAGCTCTTTTAAAATGAGACAGCTAATAAGAGTTATGAGTATCTGTAAACTCCTTTTGTTTGCATGAATCCTGATTACATCAAAGGAAATGGGTTGGAGGAGTGACAGAGCCCAATGGTATGCGAAAGTTAGTCTATTATGTGCAAAGTCCATACTGAAGTATCCCAGGTTAATGATTATAATTGCCTTAATTTTTATTCGTGTTTACTCGCACTTTTCAGTTTGTAACTCCAGCCACTTAGCAGATAATGTTAAGTCTAAGGAAACATATCCAACACGTCAGCAGGAACTAGCAGTAATAAACATAAAGATGATAAGGATCTCTCAAATTCTTGCAACAATTTGATCCTCGGAAGAGAAAGTGGTGTACATTTAATTAATAGATGCTTACAATTGCATTAGACTTTTAAATTATTAAGGAGAGTTTTCCCCTTTTCTGGGTTTAAAGACTGACATTAAAGTGCTGCTTTAGTGAAACTACCCCATGATGCAGATGGTTAAAATCGTTGCTAATACTGCTGCTCCTCATTTAGGTGCACACTGGTTTGAGTACTAGAGTGGATCAGTACTTGAGTGGTATACCTAAGCAAAATTGTTAAATGAATAGAAGCAGTCTTAACATTGATTTAATGCAGTTGGTATTTGGAATAATGGCAACAATGGCTTTGGTTAGGCTGTCATTCATTATTGATCCAGTTTTAAATATCATCGCACATGACCTTGACTAAATTCAGTCCATGATTTCATAAGGGTACTGTGTGAAAGTCTAGTTCAATATATGATCAGGTCCATATGCAGCAGAAATGTAAAGACTTTGCTTGTGATACTGTGTTTGCTCCTCATCTGTAATCTGTGTTGGTTTGATAATATTGGCTTAGTTGCCCCATTAACATTACATTTCAAAGCAGGGCTTTTTCTATCATGGACAATATTCCTATAATACAGACATCCTCAAATTGTTAGAACACTTCTCAATTTGTGGTGAGTTTTAGGAAAGAAGACTATAAGAAAAGATGCCAGAACACCAGATGCTATACAGGACACTTCAGTGAATTAACTCCTAGATCCTCTCTCACCACCCACAGTGTTTGGCTTCTTCAGATAATTACTCTTGGCAAAGGGATGTAGAAGATATGTCACAGCCAGAACTCTGATAGATATGATAAACATCACCAGATAAATATTGAGTGGGGTTGTGGTCAGGCTTGCTGGTGGAGATCTTTATCCTGTCTTAGTGATGGCCCTGATATCCTCTGTTTATAACATCTGTGGTATGTATTTAACTAATAATAATAAATTCTAATAAGTATTTTTACAGTCCAAGAAAAACAGTTGAAGCTGCTTTCAAATTTTGCTTTGTCATACCTCTGGAAAAATAATTTTTATTGCCGCCTTATTCTGCAAAGGAGGAGGAAAAGCAAAAAAATGAAGAAGAATAAAAAATAGCTGCAGGCTAGTCATGTGTATATGAGCACCACCTTTGTGTAAACCTCATTATTTCACTGACATGCATATTCATGAAGGCTCATTGAACTCCAAAAAATGTTCCCATACAGGACCTAAGTATGAATTTTCCAAAGGCCAGAACACATTGTTTTGTGTACGGTTGTACTGGAAATCTGAACGCTATCTACAGAGGCTTGCAGAGAGAATATTAGTCAGGCCAGCGGCAATCTTGTTACTAATCCATTTCAATGACAATTACTGGAATGACATTCATACTGCATGTTGACAAGGATCTGATAACTTTAATAAATTTAAATATATGAACACAATCTGTGACAGGTATTTGAGGCAGCAAATTGTGCAGCAACAAATCCACATGGTGGCTTAAACATTTAGAGATGCATTGTATTACAGCTAAACTTAGTTACGTGTACGCAAGTTTGTAGAATGGAATGTTGGCCATGCCCATTGATTTAACAGCCACATGAAATATGTTTGGATAAATGGAGATTTTACCTTCGTGTTGACTTATTTCCGAATTTGTGACATACCTGTTGGTCATTCTCACAATCATATTATTCCAACTTAGATTGTGCTAAAGTTGATGTGATGTTAAACCTAGTGAAGGTCTGAAGTTAAGTAAACTCTTAATCAATAAATTCACCTGATCCCAAAAACAGAGGTGGAGAGATAGGGAGAGTAGGAGAGGAGCAGGTCGGATGTTGTTGGTACATGTAATACTAAAGAATATAAGCTAGGAAGGACCAAAGCTCATTATCCAGTTATACTGAGCCAGTTATTCAGTTCCAGAAATGCAGTGGAAGGTTTAATCAGAGGCTAATGGATGGGGGTGGGGTAGGGCAAGAAGCAGTCTGGGATGCTACTCCTGATTGCTATACTTGTTGGAAATGATAGAAATCGTGCTTGACTCTGAAGCCTTCCATGACTGAATAACCTTTTGATTCCCCTTCACCATGTATCATGACCCACAAAAGCAAATGGTATTTGAAGAAGGTACAGGCAGCAGTTGATGCCCATGGACCCATACTCCAGCATGAGACAGTACCTCAGCAATAGAAGGGAGAAACAGGCCCATCAACCTGAATATATTTGCGACCCATGGCAGCCATTTGATTGAAGAAAGACTATGTCTTTATCATGGTTTGACAGGTTGAGATCCGTTTGTCTGTCTCTGAGTACACTTGTACCAGCAGAAAACAGTCCATCAAACTGTGAATGGTTTTTAAACTCACTGGGAAAAGACATGCTGCATAAATACACAATCCCCAGTGAAAATGCAGTGTGCTAACAGGGAGCTAGCACTTTAACAGTTTATGAAATGCTGTCTATTTGGTGTTTGCACAGAGGTGCTCTGACGAATGAAAGTATGGGAAGTTATACCTCAAGAAACAGAAGACAAAACACTTTCAGCAAGAATCCTTGACTCCTGACACAAAAGGGAAAACAATGTAGCCTGAGGGCCTTTGATGTGATGATGTGAAATTGGTAGAGATTAATAGGTTAAGGGAGACCATTGTGGGAGTCTGTGTGCACACGTACACTATCACTGCTATATAATCCTTGTCAAAATGCATTTGTTCTGTGTGTGATCAGAGTTCTTGTTGTCTTTAGCAGGTTCAGGGTCACATGCCTCCACTCATGATCCCAATTTTTCCACACGACCAACGGACATTGGCAGCGGCTGCCGCAGCCCAGCAGGGATTCCTCTTCCCCCCAGGGATAACATACAAACCAGGTGAGCTTTTTAACAATGAGTTCCTTAACTGCATGGAAAGAAAAACATTTTATTGAGTACTTATTTACAATATTGTATAAAATGTTGGTGGCTTTTCTTGCATAGGAATATGTTTTAAAATAGATCTTGAACACAGTACACTTTGTTACATCTTTTATTTTCCCCTCTTATTCCTTGCCTATCCTTTCCTAAAGGAAGCAAATCATCCTATTATATTATTACGTTGAGTCCAGGTGACATTTCTTTATCTGTGACCCTCTGCCATCAGTGATGTCAGGCTAACTATCAGTGAAATTGTTTTTCTAATAAACCACTCTCTCACTAAACTTGGCTGTGTGGTCCTTTTTTAGGTGCTCTGTCTCTGCAGGTCTGCTGGAAGTGCAGTGCAAGATCTTTGAATTAAAGCCGTGACCTGGGTATGTCAGGTTTAAACTCACGTTTCAAATTTCCAAGGGGCCTATTTGGGATAGAACTTGGCCCAAAAGTGGCACCCTGCATCAGCTGGCATATGAACAAAGAGGAAAAATTCCCAGGCCAGGACTTTCCTTGACAATCCTGGACACCTGTGAAAATGCCAAGCAGTCAGCACACCGAGAGTTGCATGGAGGACTGGCCTTAGAACCAGTTTTAGTTGGGGAACTGCTTGTTTCTTTAACTTGACTTGCAGCAAAAGAACTTCTGGACTTCTGTGACAACACCGTGTGGAGCTGGAGGAACACAGCAGGTCAGGCAGCATTAGAGGATCAGGAAAGTTGACGTTTCAGGTCAGGACCCTTCTTCAGAACAAAGGTCCGTTTCTGAAGAAGGGTCCTGACTCGAAACATCAACTTTCCTGCTCGTCTGATGCTGCCTGACCTGCTGTGTTTCTCCAGCTCCACACTGTTGTCTCTGACTCCTGCATCTGCTGTTCCTGCTATTTCTGGACTTCAATGCTTGGATTCATCAACAAACAAGTCTCCAGGACTGGATGTGATGCATTCCAGAATGCTTAGGAAAGTAAGGGGGAAATTGTGGAGGCACTAGCTTTAATCTTCCAATCCTCCTTTAAATAGGGCGTGGTGACAGAGTACAGGATGATTGCAAATCTTAAGGATATAAAGGAAATAAAATAAACCCAGCAGCTACAAGCAAAGCTGTCTAATCTCAATGGGGGGAAAGATTTTAGGCATTAATGACAAAATTACCAGTCACTTTGTCATGTGTGGATTAATTAGGGAAAACCAGCATGGATTTGTTAAAGGCAATTGTGATAACAGAGCTGGTGATGACAGTAATGCTGTTATAGATGGATGTATAAACACTATATGGTGTTTGATAAATTGCCAGCAACATTAAAGTCCATGAAATAGAAGGGACAGTGGCAGTGTGGATACAATATTGGCCAAGTGACAGGAAACACTGGGTGGTGATTAGTGGTATTTTTTCTCAGACCGAAGGAAGATATGCCATGCACATCCACAACCATCTGTACTCAGCCTACCTGCTTTCCTTGATATAGGTTGATAACCTAGATCTGGGTGTGCAGGACACAAATTCAAAAGTTGCAGATTACACAAAATTTAGAAGTTTTGTAAAGTGAGAGGCAAATATTGATAAACTTCAAAAGAGCATGGAGAGGCTGGCAAAATGATGGACAAATAACAGATGGATTTTTATGTTGAAAAGTGTGAAGTGCACATCTCAATTGGAAGAACATGGTGAGACTATTAGAAGTGAAAGATATATTGAAAACGAGGCAGCTGAAGGTATATGTGCACAAATCATTGAAAGTGGGAGGGCAGATTGAGGACTCAGTAAAAGATCACAATGGGACTTTGAGTTTTCTAAGTGGGGACATAGAGTATAAATGCAAAGAATGTAGGCTAAATATTTATCATATTGTAGTTTAGCTGAAACTGGAGTATTAAGCCCAATTCTGAGCACTGCATTTAGATGCTGTGAACCACCAGTCACTTCTGTTTGCCATGCAAAAATACCGTTCATAATTAATGGGAATTTATTAAAACGATAAATGTTTAGCTACTCTTTTCAGTGCTATATGTAGTAAATTTATGCGCATCAATTTTTAAAATTAAACACCATGAGTAAATTATAAATTCATGCTAGTACAAATGTATAGAGATTTTCATATTATGAATATTAATACTACATTCAACATATTTATTTGAAATATTCTAATATTTGTTACAAAATTCTCACAATTTTTTGGGAAGCTAACACTTTGTTCAATATTAATCAAACAAAGTGAACAATAACATAAATGTTATTTATATAACCATTGTATCAGAGATAGTAGGAACTGCAGATGCTGGAGAATCTGAGATAACAAGGTGTAGAGCTGGATGAACACAGCAGGCCAAGCAGCATCATAGGAGCAGGAAGGCTGACGTTTCGGGCCGAGACCCTTCATCAGAATTGGCGGAGGGGAAGGGGGTTCTGAAATAAATAGGGAGAGAGGGGGAGGCGGATAGAAGATGGATAGAGGAGAAGATAGGTGGAGAGGAAACAGACAGGTTGAAGAGGCGGGGATGGAGCCAGTAAAGGTGAGTGTAGGTGGGGAGGTAGGGAGGAGATAGGTCAGTCCAGGGAGGACGAACAGGTCAAGGGGGCAGGATGAGGTTAATAGGTAGGAAATGGGGGTGCGGCTTGAGGTGGGAGGAGGGGATAGGTGGGAGGAAGAACAGGTTAGGGAGGCAGGGACGAGCTGGGCTGGTTTTGGGATGCAGTAGGGGGAGGGGAGATTTTGAAGCTTGTGAAATCCACATTGATACCATTGGGCTGCAGGGTTCCCAAGCGGAATATGAGTTGCTGTTCCTGCAACCTTCGGGTGGCATCGTTGTGGCACTGCAGGAGGCCCAGGATGGACATGTCGTCTGAGGAATGGGAGGGGGAGTTGAAATGGTTCGCGACTAGGAGGTGCAGTTGTTTATTGCGAACTAAGCGTAGGTGTTCTGCAAAGCGGTCACCAAGCCTCTGCTTGGTTTCTCCGATGTAGAGGGGCCACAATGGGTACAGCGGATGCAGTATACCACATTAGCAGATGTGCAGGCAGACATCTGCTTGATGTGGAAAGTCTTATTGGGGCCTGGGATGGGGGTGAGGGAGGAGGTGTGGGGGTAGGTGTAGCACTTCCTGCGGTTGCAGGGAAAAGTGCCGGGTGTGGTGGGGCTGGAGGGGAGTGTGGAGCGGACAAATTCCCTACCTCCCCACCTACACTCACCTTTACCGTTTCCTCTCCACCTTTATATAACCATGTTCCTTTTGCTCGTGCTATGGCTCCACATGCGGAAGCTAGCTCGGTTGTGTGGTGTTATGCGAGTGGTAGGGATGTTTCTGGCTTTTTGTTTATGTAGCCTCAGTCATGATATTGGGTGTGAGTAATATGCATTTTGAACTAGCCTGCAGACCATCTGGAGGACCTTTGCAGGTTTACTGTGGCCCAGAGACTACAGTTTGAGAATCGTTAATCTATAAGACCACAGTTAGAATGCTGTGTCTAGTTTTGAATCACCTTTCTAGATGAAAGGGTAGAACAATTAAGGGGTGTAGCCCAGATTTACTAGAATGCAACTTGATATGAGGTCATCCAAATATAAAGAAATACTTGCAAAATCAAATAGAAGAGATTGTGGAATTATTTGATATGGTTGTTTGAAATTATAGGTTCATAGTCATAGGGATATACAGCACGGAAACAGACGTTTTGGTCCAACTCGTCTATGCCAACCAAATATCCTATATAAATCTAGTCCTAGTTGCTAGCATTTGGCCCATATGCCTCTAAACCCTTCCTATTCATATACCCATCCAGATGCCTTTCAAATGTTGTAATTGTACCAGCTTCCACCACTTCCTCTGGCACCTCATTCCATACACGCACCACTCTCTGCGTGGAAAAGGATGTCCCTCAGGTCCCTCTTATATCTTTCCCCTTAAACCTACACCCTGTAGTTTTGGACTGGCCCACCCCAGGGAAAAAAAACCTTGCCTATTCACCCTATCCATGCCTCTCATGATTTTATAAACCTCTACAACGTCACTCCTCAGCCTTCGATGCTCCAGGGAAAATAGCCCCAGCTTATTCCACCTCTCCCTATAGCTCAAACCCTCCAACCCTAGCAACATGCTCATAAATCTTTTCTGAACCCTTTCTGGTTTCACAATATCCTTCCTGTAGGAGGGAGACCAGAACTGCACGCAATACTCCAGTAGTGGTCTAACCAATGTCCTGTACAGCCGCAACATGATTTCCCAACTCCAATACTCAATGCACTGACCAATTAAGGCAAGCACACCAAACGCCTTCTTCACTATCCTATCTACCTGTGACTCCACTTTCAAGGAACAATGAACTTACACTCTCCAAGACCATACCATTAAGTGTATAAAGTCCTGTCCTGATTTGCCTTTCCAAAATGCAGCACCTCTCATTTATCTAAATTAAACTCCATCTGCCACTCCTCGGCCCACTGGCCCACCTGATCAAGGTCCCATTGTACTCTGAGGTAACCTTCTTCGCTGTCAACTACACCTCCAATTTTAGTGTCATCTGCAAACCTACTCACCATGCCTCTTGTGCTCACATCCAAATTATTTATATAAATGACAAAAAGCAGTGGACGCAGCACCAATCCTTGTGGCATATAAAGGATTGATGGAATAGAGTGATTGTAAACCAATGTTTGCAGTGTTTACGAGATCGAGAAGAGAGCACATAGCTTATCAGAGATTGAACAATGAGAGCAGAAAAGAAACATTCTTGTATTGGTGGAAGATTGTGGTATGTGCCACTTGTGTCAGTATTTGGAAAAGGATGATGTCGGTATTAGATAATCAGTTAGAGAGATGATTGAAGGATAAGAGCATAAAGGATATTGGATTAAGCTTAACCAATACTTACGTTGAAGGTAAGCACCAACACAAGTTCTTCTGAAGAAGGGTCCCGACCCGAAACATCAACTTTCCTGCTCCTCTGATGCTGTGTTCCTGCAGCTCCACGC